TTTCAGCTGAATCTCGAAATGGGAACTACGCATGCGCGCCAACTTTTTTTTTTTTAATTGCGCAATCTGACCAGAATCTTTATATATTACCTCCGAACATCTTTAAGTAAGAAGAGCGTGTTGGCTTAGTGGTAGGCACTCTAGCGCTCACTCTGGAGGTTCCGGGTTCGAATCCGCTCCTCGGATATGACAGGGCCTTTTACTTCTTTTTACTTTACTATACTAGAGTAAAAAAGTGTAAAATTTCCATTTTATTTTATTTTATCTTCTTCCCTAGACGAACGCCACGGAACTCGGACCTACCGCAGGTTTCCCTGCTTCGGTCATCTCTGTCCCCAGCCGGACTCGAACCTGGGACCCTCTGACCAGGAGGCAGTATCCCTACCGCCACCGCTCTTTGGGTCCCCGAAAGACCAATGCTCGTTCCATATATTTATCTTTGAGACTTGGCTAAAGCAACATAAAAAGGGAACCTCCGGGATTGGAACCCAGGTCTCGGGGACAGCAGTTCAACGCCTTACTGCCTCGGTCACTGACACTCAGAATTGGCGCTGGAATTTCAAATAGATAAAGCGGCTCCTCGTACTTGGTAACAAAACCCCCTTACGGAGAGGAGCTCCCAGTTTGCTCTAAGAGATCTACTTCATGGCGCCACCAACACTAGGCAGAATCGGTACCGAGTCGTACAGCGGGCGTTCTCCTTTATGTATAGATTTAAAATGCCCAAATGGGTCCCGTAACATCGTCACCGTCCCGGGTAATCTATTGCATATGAACTGTGGTATACGAGGCGGGAATCAATCCAACGACTATGAAAATGGGTGTCATATGTATTGCGCAAAATCGCTGAAGTGATTTTGTTTCATTCTGTCTCGCATTTAGTAAAGCAAGATATTCCTGCGTCACTCGTAACGTCTGCGAAATTCCTTATCTGGGCTTTTATAAGTTGTCGAAAATGGTAAATGTTTAACCTTGCATTTTTCAATCAGCACAATTTTTTTCTTAAAATCATCTTGGAATTTCATAGTGCCTTTCGATGCCAAGTGCGCATTTTGCTAAGATTAACCAGAGGAAAAAAACAAGTGCAATTAGCCGAACTTGAGAAAATGAAAAGGGTTGACTAATACATTTTTATTGACAATGGGTAAAGACTGGCCTTTTTCTAATCAACTCTAAATACAATTTATCTTCGATTCAAGATAAACACAAGTGTATAGTAATGCTCACGAGTGTGTAGAACGGTTCTTGTATATTGTACGGGGGTTAACCTTACTTTTCAATTGGCTAAACTTTGAACAATTGTCAAGAAGTTAGAAATTACATTGTTACCTTTTCATGGAATACAGATATTGCTTTATAGAATTTTTTTTACGTTTTGATGTACCTGAGAAATATTTGAAATAGTCGAATCACTTTTTTGGTTATCTACACAATATTGACACTGGAAATAGCAAATACAAATTTGGCACTTCATCTTTAGATCACAGGCACTGCTGTCATACTAAGTATGTCACTGCATCTAACAAAATTAAATAGCTAAAAATTTAGAACTTACAAACACACCTATTACTGGGAAAAAAATCGAATGATCTGAAATATATTTTATCATCGTCATGTAAAAGATAACATTTGTAACAGATAAAAATATTAATAACATTTTGATTCAGTTGCACTCTCAGTACTGAGATAAATTTCATTTGAATACTGTCAATTTTGAATAAATATATTTCATTCTGAAATTAGAATCTACAATATACATGATTCAATTTTATATCTAAGTAAAAAAAATTCAAGCCATGCTTTTTTTCCATTTGTGAGGAGCACCCAACAAACTACCCAAACTGTGCATGATCTAGTATCGTAAATGAGTGTGCAGATGCTTCGAAATAGAAAACTGCGGAAAGTGTGTGCCCAGCTTTTGGATGAACACTTTATTCATGAAAAAGCTAAAAAGGCACATTTTTGGTGAGTTGCAAACAGTCTGCATAATAGCACCTGTGGTGACAGTTGTTTCGTTTCAGTCCTCTATAGACATACACATTTTATTTTGAAATCTTTTTTAATAGCAAAAGTAAACTGAAGAAGAGGTTTAACTAATTTCTAAAATAGGAAAGGCTGTGAAGTCATTTCGGGTGGAAAATGTTTCATTTTTTGCATTTCGAAAGTAACCATACTCATCATGCAAACCCCTTCGATCCTATTTATCCAGCCAAGATTAATGTCTTAGTAGATTTTCAGAGGCATTCAGTGAGCTTCAAAGAACAGAGAGCAGGTGTAAAGTCTAGGACGCGAAACTTAGGTTGAGTTTGCCTGGCCTATATAAAACTACAATTCCTGATATATTTGCACATGTTGTAGAGAATTTTAACACTAATCCTGTCCTGCTAATCAGAGACTACAAGCACACTGTATCAGTGGAAAGTAGTTTGGACGATGCAGTACAACTAAGAAATTGAAAAGTTCTACGTGAAAAATCTTCAGGGGTTCCTGAGAAGATCTCCAAATTATGCAACTCAACTTGACCACAGTCACACCATGCTGTGATCAGGTCTAACAAAATTTGAAAATAGAAGTTTTTTCAGTGGATAGCATTTCCTGACGCAGCTTGTTCAGCGTACATGAATCGGTCATCCCACCTGTGACGACTATACAACATGGTACAGCAAATATTTCAGAGCAGTGCATGAGTCCCCCTTTCTCATGAAATAACAAGAAAAGTGTGGCAATTGTCTGGCTATTCTCAACACACCATTGGTCAAAATCTAAAAATGGTGTCGGGAAGCCCCTTGCAACTGTGTATAAACACTACCTTTTCTGTGCAATAATGTTTTCAAACGTCTCAAGCTTGCCCATCTGCTGCCCTCAGCTGTGTCAAGTTCCAGGCAGGGTGACGGAACCTGATGTCCAGCATGGTGGCCCAGCGGCGGAACAGCGCTTTCTCCGAAATGAAGCGATGACTGCCTTGCTTCATCTCCCCCTGGTGCTGCCTGTACATCTCACACTCTAGCATGGACCGGCCGTAGTAATGGTAGGGTATACGACTGTCAGGGTGGAGCCTGTCAACATGGGGGGTTAAGAAAGGGGTGTTTAAACAGTAATTCTACAATGCTGCTGAGCCACAAAGATTTTTTTTTTTACTAATGCAAGCTCTGAACAGCTCTTTGAATTTCTCAACATGATTGTGATGTACGTTCCTACTCTCAATCCAACCATTGAGGAAGGACACAGGACTTTGAACTGCCCGGGCTATAACATCTGGCCAGTTACCACTTTTTGGCATGCCCAGTATGTTCATAGCCACAGCACAGCGAGCACTCACTACGAATCATCTGTTTCACAACCACAAAACCCCTTTGTACCCTATGATCGCCACCGCAATTTGTTGCTGGTAATCTGCATCCATAAAACTTTGTGTACTGAGGTATAGGAAATTGAATATTCATGCCTTTGTTGGTGCTTGGTATGATCTCATGACAACATCAAATTTAATGCTTGCGCAGTTGCTTGTACTACGCTGTGTGGCCTAAATGTACAAGTGCAGTCATTGCTCTTAATGAATGCTTTCATCTGGAGTTATTTTGGGAATAAACTGCCCAGTTGTTAACAAGATTTTGTGTTTTGTTTGAATCATTTTTATAATGGCATTTGCACAAAAGTGTTTTTTACAAGATTTCAAGATCACTCTCTGTGATGAAATAGCAGAGTTTGTTCCTTATGAACTTAGCTTTTCAACAGTAGTCAACATTTTGTTGGCCAGACTTAGCCAAATTTGTATCAAAGCTTTCGAGAACTGATGCATTGGAAAAAATACGAACTTTGCATGGATAATGGAACATTGTATCAAAGTTAAAAAGGTTATTCACAATGGCAAAAGTAGGTCTAATATCAGGGATTTTTCTTTATTTCCTGATGACAGCTATAATTTGTATTTAATTGCAAGCAAAACACTGCAAGCACTGCAAGGATATTGCTGGCATTGCTTCTCCGGCTAATATGCAGGCAGTACTCGGGCATTTTTGGAATGTTTTCTATTATTCTTCCGACTCAGCGGCGATGATCATTGAACACTTTGAAGTTGCAACTCCTTCTGTGTCCTTCCTCTGTGATCCAACCAATATTGCTTCACTTAGAGCAAACATAAGTGCGCCCTCGCTTGTTGACCACATTCCAAACCATGTATTTGATACGGTGCATGCATGAAGATTGTTCCTAAATTACGACTGAAACCCATTCAATATCTCACAGTGATCACCCAAACAATTTGACCCTATATAACAGTATTTCAGCTGTCACTATGTATCCACATTTCATGAAGAAATGTGATACTAACAAACATTCATGCAGTCTGATTAACACATCAATAAATTACAAAGTTTTGTAATCATAATCATTCATGACAAAATAAAGTGCTCTTCAAAAGAAACATATGACAGTTTTCTTTGACTCACTTTTTTATGCCTCTTTACACTCTTCTTCAATGTTTGAAAAGAATTTACTTCCTTTTTAAGTTAAGTGCATTTAATGTTGTCTAAACTTTTCTGGAGGAGTGAGGGCGCTGTTGCTGTGATGTGAATCAGGGAAGACGTTCAGTTTACTTGTTTTTATGTTTTGCTTTTGAGCTCATTTTGCTCTTTGAAAACATTTCTGAGAAAAGGGTGCTCACTGACCTATTATTTTATTATTATGTAATTATTATTTTTGGAGGGGGGCATAGATCAATGCAGCACTAATATTCAGTATCTTAGATGACATCACACATTTGCTCATGATTATGCAAAGCATTACCATAAAATCTAGAGGGCCCCAAAATTCACAATGAAATGCAGAATTGAAAAATAAGCTTAATTAAAACAAAAATGATGCAATTTGAAGCACTGTAGTAAAATAGTTCTATTAATCGTATGCTGCCAGGGCAGTTTGCGGCACATAGGCTTTATACACGAAACCGGGGAGCCCGAAACTGGACAAAAGAGCTGCACCTTGTAACAAAAGACCATACTTGGAATAAAAGACCGAGCTGCTGGGAATTGCCAACATTTTTTTCAGTTGTCAATAATGTTTGTGGCATTCAGCATGAGTGGATTTTTACCGGGAACAAAAGCTCTCCAGCGCTCCAGCTAAACAATACCGCTGCATGCTAATCTGGCCCCTATTGAAAAGATGCCAGTAGCGCACTGTGCCAGTTCCGGGAACAAAAGAAAGTTACATAACACTGCATAATGTGGGCTTTTTTATAATAGATATTGTCTGTCAGATTAGAGTAACCACCAGACCATTATTCCTGTGGGTGTAAATGTCCAGTAAATGAAGCTATGATTTTTTTGAGAATTTTGAAAACGGAAAATCTTGAAAAACTCCCAGTTTTACAACTTCAAATTCCACCCGGCAGCAAGTGGTTAAATGGTTCCCTTTTCCTGGGTAGAAAAAAACAATTGCGATAATTTGTCTTGCTCAAAAACACAGGTGTACAGGGGCCTAAACTCCTGCCTTTTTCTTACTTGCAATGGTTTTCATCTGCCAGACCATAGACTACAATGCTATCGCACATCTGGATAGCTAGAAGCATGGTAAACATGCCGGTGGAAACCCATGTGTTGGTATTTACCCTGTGCAAGGAAAGAATGTACACAAATTCAACATGAAACTTCCATGAACTTTTAATCAACATGAAAATTTCAACTTCAGTTCCAAAGACCAAAATAATTGAAATTTTCATCAAAACAACTTGCCAACAACATTAGCACAAACAAGGACAAACAGCAAGAGAAGCCTTTCTGAAGAATTGAATGATGAGGCCTACCTCAGATGACAAAATTTATGAAGCTCTGTCATGGATGACAAGTTAATTACAAAAAAAATCTGACTGATGAAACATGTTAAATAAAGGTGAAAAGTACCAAAAGCAAACTCAAATCAAAGCCTACAGTTTTGTTTTTCTGAGGGGACTGGTTGTTTTTAACCACTAGCTACATTTGGGTCATCAGTAACTTTTTAACCTGTTGCTGCCGGTGAGCCCAGTTTCTGACACATATTCTTTATATGTACAGCAGGGGTGTCTGAAATCGGAGTGGGTGTAAGTGTCCAGTAAATGAAGATATGAAATTTTTAAGAATTTTGAAAACAGAAAAAAATGAAAAACAGTCCAGCCCAGCAGAATCAACATTTATATAAATGCCCCCAGCCTGAAGTGGTTAACCACCGACTGCTTTTAAACCACTTGCTACTTTTTTCATTTGCCCTCACCTGTCAATCCCAAGCTCATTCTCAAACAACTCTGCCACTTTAGTCTCCCCTTCATTCTGCATGGAGAAGAACTGGATAGGGGTGCGTTCATGGGCCTTCAGCACCTCCCTTAGCATGTAAGTGGCTCGTCCCTTGTGATGAGGGTTTTCTACGCCCCACACAGCCACCTGCGGGAGGAGGAGGATATTTAATACAATCAACATGTATGAAGGTAAGAGGAGACTGTCACATCCTATATTCATGTTGCCTTTTGGGGGCAACCAGTTTTCAAAGATTTCCTTGCCTGTGCAAAAAGAAGAAGAGTGCTGTAAGAGAATGCTTCCCTCAGAACTCAAATCACTGGGATGTAAAGTTTGTTAAAAATGGGATCCTTTATTGGTCTCATGAGTCGATAAGGTATTATGTATGCAGGGTTCTAGCCAGCATAAAATCAAAGGATAGGGCCATCTGCCCAACTTGCCAGATTCCATGGGGGGGGCGGGGAACTGGACATTATTTACCACCTGAGGGTGCCATTCAACATTTATTATTTTAAATATAACGCCTGTTTTAAGCCCCCATCACCCCATTCAGTCAGTCATTGTAAAAAGCAAAATGATCAGTTTGTGACTGACTTCTGCCCTTTTCTCCTCCTTTTTTGTGTTGAAAAAAATTATGCGTTTGCTAGGAAAGGGGCAAAATCTAACAAACAATGGGATATGATCCATGTTTGATTACTGTACAATTGTATTTTACATGTGCTTGTTCTTTTGGAGAATCTCCATGGTATGAAACTGTTTTGATGCGCATCACTAAAAAATAACGAGCTCTAAAACACCTGTGTTCATTTTATTTAGAGAAACTTCAATCTGAACAGTTTCTTGGGGTTTTAGCTCAACATGTACAATTCTTCTACATATACATGTGCATGTACAAAAACAGGCATGCCTACTTAAAATTTAACATGTATAATTCACCTATCATCATTTGTTCCTTCTTGCTGGGTTCTAAATCTTTCATCATAAAGAATAAAAGAAACCATCAATCTTATTCTTCTCATCACAAGGGTATGGCCAACTGTATAAAAGTAAATGTTTGTGCAGACAAAAGAAAAATTTGGTCAAAATATAATGAATATAAAGTACAGCAACAGTACTGAAAAAGTGGAGGAAGATGTTCTGTTCCACACTAAATACACGAAGAGACCCAGAAGGGACACAAAAACACACCATGAAGATGGGCTACCATGCAGTATGCAGGTTATGAACTCGTGGGCCACCAAGTGCTTGTGCCGGCCACAGACTGACCAAAAATTGTCTTCCTTGACTATGACAAAACATATCAAAATAACCACTGAAACTACAGCTCAAGTTTTGTGACTTCGTCAGAGATTTTTCCAGGGCGACACTATTTGAAAAGTTTGGACAACTACCGCGCTGCCAGCACTGCCATGCAAGAGCAGCTGAGTACGTGGCACCCAGAGATGTAGTCTGGCTTCCAACCTGTCTACTCTTGCTATAATCTATTTAATGGCACAGTGGGAACCAGTATTGTGCATGCTGTGTGTGTTCATCAGTTTTTTCGAAGACTATGTCAGTTCTCTGATTGCATTATTTTTTTGATTTAATTAACATGAGCAACTCTTCAAAAGGAAATAGAAGTGTATCAATTGCGTATGGGAGGGGGATGGACAGTGTGTCGGGGTCTTTGCACAGCGTATCGGCCTTACATGCTTAAGAATGCCTGGGTAAAACACTGAATGGGTGCAGGGGGTTAGAAATGGATTTAGTTTTAAAAACTTTTGAAAGGTCTTAGTGACAATTTAACTAGGAATGACTGAGCTAACTTATTGCTGCTTTGCAATAAGTCTTACCATATCTGTCTTCCCTCTACCTGTGAGGACAGCATTTGTGAGAAAAGGCAACGATTTGAAGCAAACAAACCTGAGAGTTGTCTTGCGGCCGACATCAGTTGAGTAGCCCACAGTGGGAGCATCATTCATGCGGATCACGCAAGCAGACCGGTCAATCTCTTTGCCTGCTGCTGTGCTGATAAGTTGGCCCGAACTGACCACAAGGGAACAATTGGAGCAGTGGTGGTCAAAGTGCTAAAGATGAAGCAATAAAAACAATTCCCAATTTAATTAATACTTGACAGAATAGAAACACCCCACATACAGCGGAATAAATATGCAGTCCTTCATACTCAAATTCGGGTTAAATTTGTTGAACCATACATTGCCAAGGGAAAACCTTCTTTTTGATGCAAATTCATGAACTCTACCAACTCTAAAAGCTCCACAGGGGAAACATGCGGGATAAATATAGAGAAGGAATACAGCACCCTGGTCCAATTTGTAGGACTTTATGAAATTTACAAACTGAGTAAAGTTGGACTACAGCATTGCACACATAAGGCCAACACATCAACAAAGAATGAATTGTCTTACCAGTTTTTTGTTCACACTGATGTATTCATGAGTAACTTCTTTGGCAAGTTCTAACAATTTGTCTCTGTCTAGCAGGTGCTTTGGGTGTGTCCCTAGAAGCCTCCTGGCTGGTGAGTGCCAGCTATCCCAACTGGCATAAAAAGTCACCAAAAGTGTGATGCTTACAGAATAGAGAAGTACGTAGCCCATCTGCAAAATATGTACAAAAGCAAATTCATTAATGAAAAAAAAGCTGCAGTCCTAACGGGGTTCAAGCAGTCTGTCACTACTGTCGTAAACCAAACAGCCCTGACCTCTTTTTTTTTCTAAAAACAGTGCAAATGAGGGGATGCAACACCGGAAGAATGCAATTCTGGGTACAAAATCATCTCTTGAGTATTAACAGACAGTAAATTTCAAACCTGAGCTTATTATATCTTTGGAAATCTCTCATTATTTTTCAGGCTGTGATGATACTGCATCCCACGATAACCTGGAGAATAAAAGGGACAAGCGCTGAAATAGCATGCAGAACAGCAGAGCCCCGCAGCGCTGATGTTACATGAATAATGCAATCGTATGATATCTACTCTGCTTGTCCATGTTAATTCAAACCCTTATGTTACGGCTGGCTGAGTGCATCTCCAGTCTTCAGGTAGTGCAGAAAGCACAATACTAGCCACAAGTTCATTATTTAGAAGTGACCTAATTTTACACAACACATGTGAAGAGGCTTCGGCTCTAGTTTTGCAGTTGAGTGAGCAAAAAGTGCACCCTGCTGGTCAGGCACACGACTGCTCAGCGGCTAAACTATCAAACATTCACTTGAATGATAACAGACTGCGTTGTTTTATGCATAAATGTAGTGACGACTTGTTGAGAGGTCTGGTTATGATTTGCACTGGGAAGCCTATCCAAAGGTGTGCAAAAATTCATGAAAGACTAAAACGGACATATGACATCCACAAAGCACTTGCGACAGCCGAAAGTTTGTTTCCTGTAAGTGGTTAGAGTTTTCATTTTCACTGTTATTTCATGCAATGAAATAAGTCCATGATATGAGGTAAAAACTGTGCCAACACTGATTGTCTTGTTGCAGGTTAGTGGTGTCACAAAAGGAAAAGCTCCCTTTGTACTCAACTTTGTGGGAATAAAAAAGAAAACAGTTTTTTCTTGAGTGGCTTTACATTAGTCTGATTGTGAATCATTTATTGCTAGACCTAAAATCATCACGTACTGTACCACCTTTTCTCCAATCGGAGAGACGTCTTTTGACATGAACTGATAATACCCAGTTGATTAATACAGTATGCGATTCTTTTTGTGATTTGCACCAGTAAGTTAAAGGACATTTTATGTACACACTTTCAAAGATGCCTTCATTGTTCTCATTACTACCCATGTATTCAAGGCAACAGTGCCTGGCGGCTACAGAACCAGCAACTTACCCATTTTGGCACTACCCTGATGCAGAAGCTGGCCTGCTGGTCACAGCCATTCATGATGCTGCATCTACCATGTGCCGAGGGGGGGAATCAGATCTATCCGAAGGCCATATCAGCTACATGTACAAGAAAAGGAGATGTTTTTCAGTTTTGAATACTCATCGCAATATAAGGCATCATCATTATTTCAGTGATTTTTCCATTTTTTTGAAATATTGATTTGAATGTGCAGAAGCTTCACAAGTTTATGTGGTGGAGTTACTGCCTCTTGGCTTGTAAACCTAAGGTCAACATTTCACAAACCTACTATTTTTTCACAAAGTGAGCACACAAAGAACATCTAGCTTTCTTCCCCATGAAACCCTGCGTGTCTGTGCAAAATAGCATCAAACAAAATTCAGTTTCCTCAACAAGGGTTGCTAAACCACAAGTAGTTTGTTAGTGGGCTTCAAAGCTCAAACTCCTCCATTAAATAGTTGGGTTTTTTACCTTAAGAATAGTGGTAGAGAATCATACGAAAAATTCCAGAGTTTTCAAGCTAAATCTGAAACTCACAAAAGCACTGCCCAAATATTAAGCATGCGATTGGGTAGCCCCACTAGTGTGGCACGAACACTCACTAGTGATTGGGTAAAAGGATTTAATCATAATACCCCCAACAGAATCAGTCTGGAAAAGCAAAACCTTGGAACTATGCACGTGACCATCCATTTGTGTTCGTTCACAACAACGTTTTAAACTGAGACTTTAACAAGGAACCTTTTGCAGTATAAGGGAAGAATGTTTGTTTTAGATATGGTCACTCAAAGCGTTCATGTACATCGATCTCTGCCTAACTTGTTGGGAGAGATTTTGCTGAAATGATTTTCATTTTGTAGTTAAGAGAACAAACCATTGAGGCAGATTTATCTTCATTTGTATGATCCTCAAGTTAAGTCATGTCAGATTTCTTTACAACTAATTTGCACTTGCTTATCGTTTTTACGATGTTTTACAGCTCAATGTTTTGGCTTGATTTCAGAATGGTTTTCAACAATATTTCACATCAACTCAGAAATGAAACTGTTAAAAATTTATTAGTATTGTGGTAACTTAGTTTTAGTTTAGATGTAATGAATTCAAATCCAATGTTTTGCTGCCATGCACCTGAATTGCACAGGGTTACACAAACACAAAATTATGTGTAAACTCAAGTAAATACATTTAAAAGTGAGCAAACAAAAAACAAACTTCATCATTAGAATCAACATTGTAAACATTATGCAATTGGTAAGAAATGGTATCATGTCTTCATAATTCACACAATTTACATAACATTTTTCCCCGACAAGGAAAATGAACTCTTCCAACAAGTTTAAAATGCGCAACCCAAAAATACGGGAAAAGAATTGTTCACAACATTCAACACCATGTATAACAAGGGAATAGTGCCAGTTTTTAACCAAATGGGTTCTAAGTTTTTCAAGAAAAGTTTGGCAATGCTGTGTGAGGAAGTCACGTTCTGTTCATCATGCTCATAACGTAACGTTACTCCAAGCAATTTGGACCCTACAAATCATCTTTTTTAACATTTGGACACGGTCAGGCGATAGTGGGGTACAAGTACCTTCCATATACTTTTGCTTCCATTAATTCATTTCACTCAAAATATCTCGTAACCTGAATCAAAATCCTCCGAATTCACCTCAAAAATGGTCCTCAAAATGTCTAACGTGCCCGTCTGTGTATTAAGTGAGAATCAGAGATGTCAATAATGATAACATGGTTTACTCACATGTATGGGAAGAAAAGAGAAATTTCTCTGTTAAATAGGAAGTGCTCTTGTCAACGAGCTCAAAGATGCCATCTTTCCTCAAATAGCAATTTGAACTGTATGCTGATGTCCTGTTGATGACGTCAGGGTGCGCCGGCCTGGTGGACCATTCACAGTATGCTGTGATAGTAAGCGTGCACCACGACTGTTTTCTGAGCGGTGCAAAGTTTGGTGGCTATGACCATATCAAAACTGTACGCTGAACATTATGCTGTTCAGGAAACAGTTGTCGGCATGCTTGCGCCAACACAGCGTGCTTTCGGTGAATGGTCCGCCAGGTCGGCACACCGTGACATTGTCAACAGGATATCAGCATACAGGGAAAAAATGTTGCATCCTGATTCCACTTCAGTAGTTGTGTACAAAGTCTATGGGTAGTGAAGAGAATTTTCTAAGTATTTCCCAACAACATCGGTAAATGTTTCTCAGTCCAGAATTCGTGTCTCTCCAGCATTTCTGTAATAACTGACTTTAATTGAGATGATATATGATGAGAAAAGTATAGTCACGATGCAACATTTTAGCCGCATAAAGTTCAAATCAAAAAGTTGCTAGGCCTGTTTGAGGAAAGATGGCGTCTTCGAGCTCAATGACAAGAGCGTTTCCAATTTAAAGGGGAAATTTCTCTTTCCTTCCCAAATGTGAATAAACCTTGTCATCATTATTGGAATCTCCTATCATGCCTATTCTCACTTGATCTTACATGTCCTAATCCAGATGCATTAGACAGTTTAAGGACCAACTTTGGAGGCAAATTTGGAGGATTTTGATTTGGTATGTTCGGGGTACAAGCCAGTTTGAGTGAAATGAATTAACATTAATGGAAGCAAAAGCCCATGGACATGATGGAAGGTATACTCGGTTCCTGTATTATCGTGGTCACTCTATTAGCGCGGTATCGGAAATTTTGAATTTTGCATTGCCAGTGAGTTCCCAGTCGGCAATATTCGTCCAGGTTACCAATAACCTGGGGCCTGAGGATTAGTTCTATAAAATAGAGAGTGAACAATTTTGTAAGTTTTTGTAAGTTTTGATAATGTTTAATAAAAGATGTCAGTTTTTTCAAAATTTGTAAAATGTCCTTCAGTGTCTGTCATTACCTACCGTCTATCTCTTTAAGAGTTATTTCTGACACCGCCCTGCCCTTGGATACCCGATGCTAGGTTCCTATATGTCAATTTCAAATGACCAAAAGTGTCCAAAGGCATACTTTAACTGCGAAAGTGCCCATTTTTTATCGGAGTCCAAATAAGAGCTTCTACGCTGAAAAACATTGAAATGCATTTAAGCACGTCCCCAATCTCCATTACAATAGACTTGTATCAATTGTACTTTTACCCACCATGGCAATCAATTGAGAATAATTACGTCAGCATTATTGTCTCAATTTTTTTGCTCTTCTTACACATTTTAAAATATTTTCAGTGGATGTTTAAAATTTTAATATTAGTTTCAATTAAAAAGTTCAGGTCCAATGACATGAAGGGTTCAAATTACTGGGACTAATGTAACCATGGTAACGTTAAAGCTAATATATCCATGGCTTAGAGTTACGACACGGGTTATGAATAATTATGACGTCCACCATTATTTTGTCCACAAACGTTAAACTATTTCCATCACGAGTACTCGGAGTAGGCCTAGTCCATAGTTGTTATCACCTTTCTGTTAACTTGCAAACCACAAAATGATAAAGATATTTTACATGTAGCAGACGCAAGGCAAGCTCTGTCAGCCATGTCAACTGGTTCTTCTTTTACTTTGTAGTTCGTAATACCTGCACTGGCCTTGCTATTTTAAATGGCGTGAGGATTATGGGCCCGGGCATGGCGCGCGTTTTTATAAAGCGCCCTCTTGAGACCCTATATCTGGGCTGGTTGTGCTCACTTAAAACCGTGAAGATTCAACTAATAATAAAAAAAGATAAGAAAATACGTTACCATCTTATGACTCAAACTTATTCCTGTTTTTATTTTCGGGGAAAGGATTATAATACTCCAAGGTGAGGCGCAGAGACGCTTTGGAAACGGGATGGGACGCGATCTCATATGGTCAGTAGGGCCTACGGGCCGTGCGGAGAGAGACTAGGTGCACTTCGCTGGTTCACGTTCGACTATGAAGGGTGCAGACCAATAATTCAAGTGAGAATTTTTGACCAGCTCATTAGCATTAAAAGTGCCCCCTTCCACAGTATCTTTTGAAAAAGGAGATTGTTTGGCCCCCAAAATGGTGAGATTGTGTAAATCGTTGCCAGGATCAACTCCCTGTGTCTTTGAGCTTTCATATGAGAGCACAAGGGCTAAAAACTACGGTTGAAAAATGGTCCTAAGTGCNGACTTCGGAAAAATCACTTTTTGAGGGGTGATTTTGTTTTGTGGGAATAATTAAAAATGTAATTGGTTAACCCATAAAAAATTGAAAAGAAATTGAAAGATAAAAGACCAGACAAGAATTTTATTTGTGCTTCAGAAATCTCAGGGATGTTGGCGTGCATGCTATTGGGCCCTGAACGGTTTTGATTTTACATTGTTTTCAATGGGGCTTGAATTAGTGGACTGGAACCTGAAATACGTGCTTTGCGTCGGTACGATACCAACAGAACGAGGACTTCCCAACAGCATGGCTCTTTTCAGCCGATGAGGGGGGTGCCTCAGATCAAGGCGGTACGTGGAGGGGAGTCGGGGTGTCTTTGCCACAGAATGGGGGTAATATCGTTTGCATGAAAGCGGGGTGGATTTGTCCTTAACGGGGGGGGTCCAGGTTGGTTTTTGTGGGTGGATTTTGTTACATTGCCTTTTCGGGGGTCTTCCAACCTTTGAGTGAGGCCCCTAAAAGGCAGTGAGCAGGAGGTGACCCCCCGCCCCCCGATCCGGGCCTGAATGTGTGTGCAGAAAAGCTTCAAGAAACATTTTGAATTTTGTTTAATTAAAAAATTGGAGGAATAGCAAATGGGAATCGGGACTAGCCTGAGATGAGACTTCATGACCGTCCTTTAAATCGGCTTCTGTGCTTCAGATGATTTTTTTTCTCGTGAGGATTGAACAAAATGCGCTCACCACGTCGTCTCTGCGGACTTTAGAGTGATGCTCTAGGTCGACGCGTAACCGGAGCTAAGCAAACATGTCAAGGTACTCAGCGCCGTGAATTATTTCACAAGGAAAAACTGCTGACGGCCTCACATGGAGTTGCCTGAGCAAAGAAGTTTCCTAAACCGCAATAATGCCTCAGATTGTTTGCGCGAAGAAATACTCTGGAAGTCAGATGAAATCATACACGAGCCGAGCTATGGGATTTACAGCTATGATCCAAAGCAACCTTCCTTTCTTGCACGGACAAATCGGTCAAATTGTAATGAATCATTTCCAAGTGGGTCACGGTAATTCATTGCCAATTATCCCCTCGCATCATGTTTCAGAGAGACGGACTAGCGAAGTATGACCCGCGTGATAGGACACCGCTCAATTATTGTATAGCATTTCGTCACGGTGTGTTTGAGAGGGCTTCCATGACCATTCCCTTAAGTGCATCTTACTTACGCAGCCCGTTTCTCAGTTGGAATTAGATTAGCAGCTTTTTTGTTTGCTGATTATGAATTGCATGGGTTTTCAAAACTCCACACTTGAGTCAAATCGTATCTTCTCTGAAGGCAAACTTTGATTCTTACACATTACTGTTAGGGAATCGGTCCAAAAGGTAAGACCGAATTGCAAACTGCGACTCGGAAGAGTTCATATACTGACAGTCAGAGAGGAGGGTGGGACTGGGGAGTTGAGGGAAATGGATAATGTGACCTCGAAAACAAGGTGACGCTTCAGACTGTATAATCTTTCTTAAGTCCTTAAGTGTTACTGAAGTCCACGGTGATGCTTGGGCTGCTCGTTGACACTCACGAATAACGTGGTCCAGACAACTTGCTTTCAAATCGCAAGTAACGAATAATGTGTATGGCTGGAAAGCAGAGAGAAGAGGACACGAAAACTTTAATTGGGTTTATGAAGACAAACAACTTGTGAATGACCACAGCGACGGCAGTACTCGCCGTGTTACCAGCTATCTTTATCCTTATGGCGAACACCAGGTCGTGGTACGCGAGTTCACGTAACTTATTGTCTTTCCGAATTCGAGCTCATTTCTCTTGCAAATTCACACCACGTAATCCGATTTCCTCACTCCTACCTGGACTAGGGAGCAACACAAGATTCTCTTGGGACTTTATCAGCGGCATTACTTGGGTGAAATTTGTGAGGGGGCACCCGGGGTGCACACATTAAGGGGTACTGAAACCAAATTAACAGTGGCTTGTACATTGGCTGCGAACATTTTAAAATTTCAAATATAGGGGGGCGGGGACCGGACTTCCACTAGGATTAGGACGATTGTGCCCCTGTACGCCCCCCCCCCTTAAATACGCCACTGGTTTAGTTAGAGTTAAGTTGGCTTCATCGTAAATAATTGCTATGAGCCCCGAGCTGGACCAAGAGAGGGCGCAACTTTCCCAGCAACGGAGTCTCCGTTGGAGGAAATGCCCTTGACTGGTGGTTCACATACATGTACAATTATGAAATGCAAGTGCTGCGGTCGATTGGGTCGCTACCAACAAAATGAAAGCTCTCCACCAACATGGCTCTTTTCAACCGATGAGGAGGTGCTACTGCTGAAGGCAGATATAGGGTCTACTGAATAGCAAAAGTGAAATGTACACAATGAGGTGGGTTGAATATCAAATGCAGATTCCGGTCCGAGTCCAAGCCCCCCCCCCACACACACGCACTCAAGTGTGTATTTGCCTGCAACTGGCGACCCCCTATTGTTCCTCTTTT